ATCCCGTTTAAACCGGAGGTACTTCGAATGATCCAAAATAGCTCTATTTGTGCCCAAAACATCTCAATATTACAGTGCCAAGACTGCTCCACCTTTCATCTTACTCCAGCTCCAAGGAGTTTCTTTTGGATTAAAACCAAATCAATTACTTAATTAAACTTAGCCCCATCCCTTCCACAGCCCCACTATGAATACTTACGTTCCCCCAGGTATTTAGAAAAAACAGCTAAAAAAATCACAACCTAACATAGACCCACCCTTAACCTATTTGCCAGCCTATTCTTGAACTATATATATTACTCGTTATTCTCACCACGTTGTGCGAGTTTCGTCCGGCCGGCTGGACTCGTGTACTAATCGCTAATCGTAAATATGCTGTATATGCTCTAGCTATTCTATAATGCGGGGCAGATCTACATAGCTATTGCCTGGTATAGGGTGAATCGTGAAATAGTTGGAAGCGGAGCCGCCCGGCCTAGCCTACTCCGTGTTCGCTACCTTGTCGTACGGGGCTTAGCCGCCGGACTACTCGGAAGTATCTAGAACCGAGAAACACGGTCGGGTGTTGAGGGACCCGATTCCGCGGAGTAATTTTAATGCACATGGAGCTTAAGCGCTAGGCCGCCTGAAGGCTAGTTGTCTCCCCGCATTTTGAAGATGAAGAGGAGAGTCGATTGAGCAGAGTCGAGTCGAGTCGTGTTGTTATTGTGGTTGTTCATTGGAGTTTTTATGAGCGATAGAAAGAAGATGTAGCGGTCGACTGATGGCCATTTATCTTGTTCCTTCAATGAATGAACGATCCATCATATGAGGGAAATACGAAATCGGCATCCATGTCAAACGTGAAAAGGGCAACTCTACCGAATGGTCACTAAGTCCTATATCCTAGATAAAACATTGAACCTGAGTGAATATTCGACCGGGCAAGCGTAGCTCACAGAGATTTCGGTTACCCTACGCATGGTTGGTCATGCTGGTGATATTTTAGAAACGGACTAAGGTCATGCGTCTACCGTACTTAGAAACTGACCGGCCTCTTGAAATAAAGGATTCTTCTACACACTAGACAGAAATACTCAAGCTCGATGTGAGGTCATCTCCAATTTTAAATGTACTATTCAACAATATTTCATGATTTTGAAGTAAACAGTGTTGGTCTCTTTATACCTGCAACTGATTCAGGACATGGCTCTTATCCTCCGCAACACTAGACTCTAAACGACGATGGCTTCGGGGCCTTATCTTGACTAATCAATTGAGTTCAAGCTGGATAGATACATATTTTGTGATCCTGTAGTGAAGGTAGCTGAACATTAATGAGCAACTCGGCCGAAGTCCATGCAGGTGGTGCTGAAATTTAATTAGCCTAATCTAACTCAATGCAGCATGTGCTAGCTTGATTAGGACCAGAGTCTGTGAATAGGTCAGACGGCTACATTGTTCGGTTAGCTTAGCAGAGTGAGTTTGGTATCAGTTTTAAGGCTCACACTTACTTACAAAATCCAACCAAAGTCCAGCAACAGGTCGTGCTCCCTCTAATTTAACAAATAGCAAGCTGTGTAAATTGCAACAAAGATTTTAACCCCAGCTTATACCAAAGTCTACTTATGTAGCAAGACAGCGCTGGCCTGGCTAGTCCAGGTGATTTGGTTGCCCACCCACCTAACTAGGACTTACAAGTAGCTTGACAACTAGCTCACAGTGCTGCTCGCGATCTCCTATCCAGGTACCTTGATGAATTGATTCTACTCAGGCTGCCGGTAGCACAGTCATTACCGTAGATAGAGACACACAGAATAGAGAGTTCATATGTTCACTTATGATGCTGTACTTGGTCTAGCTCTTCTAACGGTAATTCCGCTACAAGGGTCATTTAAATTTTCAAGATCACCAAGATGCTTAGATAGACACTAGGTATAGTGAGTGCTGTTAGAACTTAGCTTTGGCCGAATTGCAGCCCGTTGGAAGACCGTGGCTTAAGCACCAGACTAGGAGGAGTTGGAAATGTCAAGTGAGACGCATACACTCGCCAGCAATGAAACTTTGACGAGAAACATTACTGTCCTGCTTGAACAATTGCCGCATAGTGCTATGTTATCAACTTGCTTCATCCTCGCAGTATCATGGAGAAGGATATCGCGCCAATCAGAGCGGAGGTTCTTCAAAACAGGTGGCATTGTCACATGAAAACATAATAAGAGTATAGAAGAAGTACGTCAACGTTGAGCACCCAACCTCTACCCTAATTTTAGCTAGCTACTATAATCATGCCTTAGATCCTACGTAAAAACCCATCCAAGTCAGCTACTGACAGCAATACGAATTACCCCACATCAGCCCCCAATCCAAACAATTATACGCAGCACAACTTACAAACACGATGCACAAAACATTTCATCCGTTACCGGCGCACATGTCCCCACCAACTCAACACCAGCGCCCCTTCTTGGCATCGTAGCTCAAAAAAACTCACGATCCTTGGCGCCAACACATCAAACAAAGCGCCACCAGGGCCCTAACCATCCTACTAAGCAAGCCTCAAGAAAAAATTCTTCAAACACCTGCCCTCTACCTCTGACATATGGCGATTCTAGAAAGCGTCCCAGGCTCCACAACCACCCGTACACTTACCTTATTCCAGCAACGCTCTTACCAAACAATTTCCGCAACAAAAACATGCGCCCTACCCCCTCTCCGCCTCCACACCCCCGAACTTTCCCCATTTGCTTCTCCTCCCTTGCATGCAAAGACAGCCCACCCGCCTGCCATAAGGCAAATAGAAAAAAAACTAGCAACACAACCCCATTCCTCCCCATCCATCAGAATCCTTTCCCCACAACATTCCAGGCCTCCCTTCTCCAAACTAAAAAAAAAAGCGGGTAAACAAACTTCCGCACCACAGTTAGCATTGGCCGCTTATCCCTCCCCGCCCCCGAAAAATCCTCACACAAGGCGCAAAAAACCCGCGATGCGCGCCGCGCTCACGTTCTGTAACTCCAAGGTCCATTCCGCACTGTGCGGAAAACCGGAAAATAAACATATCCGACTAAAGATTGATGACTAGTGCATCTTATTATTCTGTTACTGGAAAAGGGAAACGGGAAAAGGAAAAAAAACGGGGGAGGGGGGATGGACTTTCTCATTTGGGATGTAAGACAAGGGTGTGTGTGTGAGTTGCGGCTCTGTTGAAGGGGGAGGGGGGGGG